TGTTGATGTGATCAAGTGCACGACCAAGTAGCCCTGAGAAGGACTTCTGTAGTGTTGATGTGATCAAGTGCACGACCAAGTAGCCCTGAGAAGGACTTCTGTAGTGTTGATGTGATCAAGAGAGACAGACCCAAATACTGTCCTGCCCGAGGATGAAGTTGTCTACTGGCCAGCCAATAGGTGACCCAGTCGCCGATGTGACCGGAGAGGTAATTTACAGACAGATTTATAAACATCTGGAGTCAAGAGCTGGAAGGAGAAGGCCGATTCTAGTGATGAATGAAAGTGGGTGATAGCTGCAGCAAGGAACCTCAAGAAACCTCAAGGGCTTAAAGTGATGATGAAGAAGACCAAGCATGTAATATCTTCTAAGTTTTTCGGTTAGTTCGATGTTTGTCTCCCCATTTACTCACTCTTACACACTAACTAGCTCACTTATGATTGGTCGACCTTCAGCCTAGCTAACTTCTGATTTGTCCACCTTGAGCCATGCTACGTTGCCTCCCACTGCAATAATATTGATACTGCGTGTTCTATATTTTAACACAGCAGCACTTTTAACACTCCAAAAACATGGGCACACTGGGTCTAACACAACCCACCTAGAGAGTAATGAAACCTATGTAACAGGCATTCTCTTTCCAGGAATGAAAACGTTAACGCAAGACATCAAGGAAACCAAACAACAGAGCGGGACACACCTATAGCTTCCACGAAAGTAGACCAGTCCACAAAACTTATCAATGGAACATGACCTACTTTGTTTGGGAAGACTAACGTGAAACTAAATAATTTTAAAAATAATATCTTGAAAATTTTATTATAAATGAATATACAAAAATAAAAGAGTAATATATTCTGTAATACACCACCAGTCCAAATTCTTCAAATCATTGCTTCTTTGCGTTCACTGGCTGTAAACTTTGGCAGAAAGTTCTGGTTATTTGTCCACTTATTGACTTTGGTCTTATTTCAGAACTTGAGCTTTGTGTGCACATCTGTTTTACATATAAGGCTGATATGTATGCAGGCTGCTAATTTCCCAACTCTCAGGTATTTACACTATGACCTTAAATAATTTTGCATTATTATGAACAACTTCAACTGAGAAGGTTTTAACACAACTTTGTCTGTTTGAGGGCCTCCGTGGCGAGGTAGTCAAGCCATCTGTTCCGCGCTCTAAAGGTTATGGGTTCATTTCACAGCTGAATCCTTCAGATCATGAGTGCAATTTTCACAGAGATTCCTGGGGATCATCGCCTGAGCTACGGAGTTCATGCTTTGTGTGATGCTCTCGGCTGGCAGCTAGCCGTTCTGCGGATAGAGAGACAGAAGAATAAAACCCAGTGCAATAAAGTCGATCCTCTCGACTTAAACCTTTTAACCCTTGTTTTGTCGACTGCTTCTCGAGCACGCCCATGTGAGTTCAAGGACTCCAGTTTAGAGAACAAAGAACCGACCCATTGCTCCCTTAACTAGCATGTCTCAAGAGGCAACATCTCCTTCACAGTTGGCGTGCCCGAGAGGCAAGAAGCCAACTGTCTGCATATGAATAAGCCAGATTTGTGCATGTAAAAACTGAAGTTCTAAATCAAGATCAAAGTCCAGGAGTGGACAAACAACAAGAACTTTCCGCCAGTGTGTGCAGCCGGTAAACGCAAAGAAAAGAGGATGGCAACTCGAGATACCTCAGCAACAAGTTACAACACTGCCATTAAAAGTTAGTTGCGTATCCTTTACAGGACGTTGCAGAACCAACCCCAGCATTGTTTTGGCTGTCGTGGTTTTTCCATGCAAATGTACGCCCAGTAGTTTGCCATTGCTTTCTGGACAGTCGGCCCTCGATATTACTGTCAAAACCAACGCAAGGCCCGCAACTAGGATCGAACCCAGCATCCCCAGCATTATGAAGCACGTTCGCAATGCCTATGTCACAGATGCTGACAATACTCTCACTACATGGCAACTACTGCCTTTGTTTTACCACTTTTGCGGTGTAGACAGTGGGGTCTTTGAGCCTGAGAATTTACGTCCACATGGCTAGTGCTGTTGCCACGACTGTGCAGGTGTGGATTTTATTTTCCCTCTGACAGAAAAATCCCTAGCTTTACCGACTATTCGAACCTGGGTCTCCCGCTTAAGAGCCCAGCGTTCTAACCATTCGGCCAGCCGCTCCTCCACAACAAGTTACAATAACAACAATATAAATAGAGAATGTTATCACACTCTTCAGCAGTGAACCGTTAATAAATATAACATTTCAATACATCTAATAAATATGCTAACTCACACACGTGCGCACACAAACACATGTTCTCTGTTCATGAAACAAATCAACAGGAGAATATTTTCAAACAACATACAAGAGTAAAATAATAACATAAAGAAGACATTGAAAATCAAATGCAGAAACCTCGATCAAGCGATCTGAAAGTTGAATTGAGGCCCTGCTTTTTCTTCTTATAGTCCATACCATGTGGCATTGGTAATCATGACTATCCACAACCTTCTGTTTAGGAGGCTGCGTGGTTTCGAGGCACGGTGTCCGCCTTGAGCGCTGGAAGTGCCGGGTTCAAGCCCCGGCTAAGGCTGGTTTTTTTTTTTTTATGTGGACTTCTAATCATTTACCCTGGTCTCTGGGTAATAATATCAGATGCCCTTGTGTATTGTTGCGCACATTTAAAAAAAATCCCTTGGCAGTTGGAAATCGAAAAAAAGTAGCCTAACGGAGCTGCCCGGGCAAAATTTGGAGTTAAAAAGCTACTCAAAGTATTTCAGGATCCTCGCCGGTGCTAGGAGTTCGTGCACTGCGCTGAGATTCTTTGGACTCAGGCTTGAGTCGAGAGGTAGAATAGAGCACTTATGGGTTACTACCCTTGTGCCATGATGTTGATCCGTCATCTGAACCTAACTTAAACTACAACCCTCTGTCTTGTGTACTTTCAATCAGTTCTGACACTGATGATCCTTGATGCCAAGATGTCAAACTGTCCAGTATTCTCTCTCTCCGCATGCCTTTATCCTTCTCATGACTTCTTCTTCTTCAGCATTCCGATCCCTTAAGGTTCATTGCTGCAGATATCACCCGCATCCATTCATCTCTCTGGCTGGCCTTCTCTTTCCAGTTGGTGACACCAAGTGTTTGCAGTTCTGTCTGGATATTATCTCTCCATCGTCTTCTTGGTCTGCCTCGTGGTCTACGACCATTCATCTCTCTTGTGTATACAGTTTTTAATTTTCTGTCATGTGACATTCTTTCAATATGTCCCAACCATTTCAGCCCATTAGCTCTCATGATGCCAGTGATCAGTGGTGATTTAAACAGAATATGAATTTCGTTGTTGCATCTAACTCTCCATTCCCCACTGTTTGCATTTTTGATGGGTCCAAAGATTCGTCGTAAAACTCTATTTTTGAAAACCTGTAACAAGGTTTCATCTCTTTTAGTTGTGCTCCAGGTTTCATAGCAATATAAAAACGACAGGTCTTATCAACGTTTCATATATTTTGATCTTGGTGTTGCCAGACAGACACTTTGACTTTGGCAGATGTTGAAGGGCATAGTTCCTTCTCATGACAAGGCCAATAAATGCTGATTGTCTCATTCTGATGTGGCCAATTAGTTTTCTCAGCCAATCATTCTCATTGTGAATCTTCTTTTTTTTTTTTCAAGACCTCTTCATTATTTATCTGTCCAGCGTATTCTCATCATTCATCTATAAAAACCACATCTCTGCTACTTCCATGTATCAAGATAGGATTTACTTAGCTGATGGGAATTCACTTAATCATCCCAACTGAGGATTCAGGTTTTCCAATGTAAATGCTACAGACGCATTTTACAAATGAGTTATTTAGAACATAAAACTAACAAATATGTCAGAGACAAAATAAACAAAATTGCAGGACATCAAAAGCCTCTCCTGGCAGTAGTAAAACATCATAAGCTAGCTTGGTTCGGGCACATGGTGAGACATCATCTGATTGCAAAGTCTGTATGCAAAGTACACTTCAAGGAACATTAGGGGGTAGTTGAAGAAGAGGAGGGGCAAAGAAGAACCTGGAATGACAACATCAAGAAATGGACAGGACTAAGTTTTCAAGCACGTGTTCAACAAGCAGAAAACAAACTTTGTAGGTTTTGTTTGCTAGTGCCTCTAACGATTGACCTCCATGACCCCTAGGGTGAAAGGTTATGTTATCTTAGGTATACTAAACTAACGACTACAGTTTTGACAATTTGCGGTCTTTTTGGCAATTTCTGTTACCATGGAAACCGTTTGAAACTTGTTTGGGAATTGTCGGCAGGGGTTTCGGGATGGGTCCTAATCTCTCATGAAATTTTGCGATTGGTATGATTTTCACCAGCTATAAATAGCTGAAAACGGCGGGAACGAACCCGATTAACAGCGCATGTCTACGACAGCCGGACGTCCTCTGTTTTTCTGTTACATCAGTTTGATTGAAAATAGCGCTAAGTATTCAAGGTTGGCTTTAGGCCTTAAACATTACCAGACATGGTAATGCTAGTTATAATTGAATTCTCCGTCCAATTTTACATTTGTGTATAAAATTTCTTTCTTATCAGTGGCTATTTCAATTTACAGTGACATTTTTCAGGCAATCACTATTATGTGGCTGTGTCTGAGGAAAAACTGTCTGCCATCTTGTCCAATGAAAACAAAGCCAAAACGAAAGTGCGCTGTTTGGTTGCGCAGAGAAAACTTCTTGTTTCTGAGACGCAAGTTTTCAACAGCTGTTTTTTTACATCTCACCTCCACAAAAACTTACATATCTCAGCTCAGAAATGACAGCTATCTAACTGTGCTGGTTTTATTGGTGTAGAGGGCATTTTAAAAATTTGACTAAAGTATCTAACTAAACATCCTCTCGCATACATCTGCCATGTAACAACCTTTCACACTGCAGAACCTTGCTGGATGACCCTGAGAACAAACACTGCGTCTGTCAGCACATAAAAGGAATGCCGCAGGTCACCTTCACACAAAGTACGGCAGACGGCTGAACTTTTCCACCTCAAATCCAGACTGATGAAAAATGGAGACAAAATGTTCTACCTGCTCTTCGAAATTGGACCCTTTAACATGGAGAAACTCACTAGGCTGGTGGGTTTTGGACTCTGGGGAGAGAGAAATAGTGAACTTTGTTACAGATATTTGGCGTAAAGAACAAACACAATTTGACTTATTAGTGGAAATTTGTCTGCGTGTGCCCTTACAATGGTGGTTGGCACACTGTGTTGCAGTTTACAGCAAGGCTGTGATATCTGCCACTTCCTGTCCAGTATGTCCAATTTCAACAAACTCATATCTTCATATGGGTTCCAGGGTCCCATTCAGGGGGAAAAGAACAGACCCGCAGCCAGTCAACAAGCAATTGTAAAGGCCAAATTAGGGATGTTTTTTTTCTGAGTTGGAGTGCATCTGCGTGAAAGCTGAGGAACCAACAGTCTGCATTAAAAAAAACTAGATCTGTAAAATGGATGTGCAAGCAAATCTAAAATTCTGGGAAAAGACAAAAGTTCAGAACAGAACAAACAACCAGAACTTTCAACCAAAGTGGGTGTGAACTAGAAGGATAACTCCTAATTAGTCGGCATACACAAAATGCTTGTTACAGGGCAATAGATCTATTCCGTCACCCCTTCTCCCTTTATACTGGGTCAAATATGAACATGAGTGCAGATGTAGGTCAGGGGAACTAACACATGTTACTGTTTAGGGAAACAGAGTTTAGGAAGATTAGCACAGATGACTGTCAAACATAAGCACAGTTACTGTTTGGAAACAGAGGGAAACTAACACAGTTGTTGGTTTACATGTTTAGGGAAACAGAGATTAGGAAGATTAGCACATCAAGCACAGATGTTGCTGTTTAGGGGACCCCACAATAAAAATTGTTACTCTCGGCCTCCTAGCAATAGGGAAAGAGGAGTGAAAACCACTGAATAGTTATTTATAGTTTTTCAAGTGAAGCACACGCGTAATCCGTTGGTCGTATTCCCCAACTAACATGTCGATGTTCGACTGTTTAGGGTCCAGTATACAGAGAGGTTAGGGAAACAGAGACTGGAAACATAAGCACAGATGTTGGTTAGGGGAACTAACACATGTTACTGTTTAGGGAAACAGAGACTGGAAACATAAGCACAGATGTTGGTTAGGGGAACTAACACATGTTACTGTTTAGGGAAACAGAGATTGGGAAGATTAGCACAGATGTTAGTCAGGGGAAGTAACACATGTTACTGTTTAGGGAAACAGAGACTGGGAAGATAAGCACAGATGTTGGTCAGGGGAACTAACACATGTTACTGTTTAGGGAAACAAGAGACTGGAAACATAAGCACCAGATGTTGGTCAGGGAAACTAACAAATTTTACTGTTTAGGGGAACAAAAACTGGGGACATTAGTACAGATGTTAGTCAGGAGAACTAAACATATTTACAGTTTAGAGGAACAGAAACTGGGGACATTAGTACAGACATTGGTCGGGGGAACTAATAGATTTTACTGTTTAGGGGAACAAAAACTGCGAACATTAGTACAGATGTCGGTTAAGGAAACTAACAAATGTTATTGTTTGGGGGATCAAAAAATGGGAACATTAGTACATTTGTTGGTGGGTGGAACTAACAGATTTTACTGTTTAGAAGAACAAAAACTTGGGACATTAGTACAGATGTTGGTTGGGAGAACTAACAGATTTTACTGTATAGGGGAACAAACAAATGGACCACTGGCACAGATGTCGGTTGTAGAAACTAAGAGATTTTACTGTTTAGGGGAACAAAAATTGTGGACATTAGTACAGATTTTATTGTTTAGGGGAACCAAAAAAAAAAAAAAGGGGGGGACATTGGCACAGATGTCGGTCAGGGAAGCTAACAGATTTGTTAGTGTAGGGAACAATAAATTGGGACATTAGTACAGAATGTTGGTCAGGGAAGCTAACAGATTTGTTAGTGTAGGGAACAATAAATTGGGACATTAGTACAGAATGTTGGTCAGGGAAGCTAACAGATTTGTTAGTGTAGGGAACAATAAATTGGGACATTAGTACAGAATGTTGGTCAGGGAACTAAAAATCACATTTTACTGTACAGGGAAACAGAAAGTTGGAACAGTACAAATGTGGGTACAGGAACAAACTAACTGTTGGAATCAGTCAAGAACCCTTTTATAACCATTAGCTTGTAAGGCATATGATACCAGACTCAAAATTAAAACAAGTGTTTCCGCTTTAAATTTGAAATAAGGAAGACGCAAACAACATACAGCACAACTGTTGCCCCTACATTCTATTTTATCACATTAAATGTTACTGCACACTGGGCATTCCCACATAGGCTCAGTCTTTTGATGCGAAGCAGCAGCCAGTAATGCAACTACCAGCCTATTTACTAAGCTCCATACATGACTTTTTCTTCTTCTTCTTAGCATGCCCCGGCTGTAAACTCTGGCAGAAAGTTCAGGTTGTTCATCCACTTCTAGACCTTGTTCTTGTTCCAGAAACTGAGTTTATCACGGTGGTCTGGAGAGAGAACGGTGATGGCGGGATACAGTTTTTGGGACACAAGGCAGAGGCACCTCCGCAGTGGGTCTGTCTCCACCCCCCCCCCCCCCCCCCCCCCCCCCCCCGGACTCATTTGGCTTGAGTTGGTAATAAACAGCAACTTGTCTCAGATGCTGAAATACTTTGGCCATATCAAGCGCCACAGCAGATTGGAACAAATAATAGAAAAAGGTTAGACAGCTGGAAGGAGGGGCAGGGGTCGACCAACATGATGCAGGGCACAGGATGTAAATCATAAAATATGAAAGTACACGATGCGGGAGAGCTGGCCAGAGACTGAGTTTCTTTCAGGCAGACCATGATGACAACGACCTCCTGCAAAAGGACCTGCTACATGATGATGATGATGATGGAACTACAACAGCAAGGGAAATGAGTAAGCCTCCCTGACCCTACAAACCTGCGACTCCAGCTACTTACCGAATTCTACATACGGCTTGAATGGGATCACTACAGCAACCAGAAGCCTGCCGGTGACAGGCTGCAGGCTGGCTTTGATGTCCGCCAGAAGGGACAAGGGCTTGTCGCACCTGTCCAGCAGGTTCAGGCAGGAAACTAGGTCATATTTGACACCTGTAGATTGCCATTCGTTGACATCAAGAACTCTGAAACACATCATACGGACGAGTTAGACTACAGCTCATGAGAAAATGACAAATTACAAAACAAAATAAAAGTTGTCAATAAAATTCAGTAGAAAAGAAACAATTGTAACCCGGAAACAGAATATATTTACAGCAACACATTATGGCCGCTAAAAGAGAAAAACCATAAATTAGAAACACAACATGTTTATAGCTTTTTCTCTACTCCTTGAAAGCCTCATGGCATCAGTATTGGTTCTATGTCAACTATTCTCCTGATAACAATGTTCCTAAGTCGATCTTTCCTCGTTACACCTAGCATAGAACGAAAAAATTTCATTTCTGTCGTGACCATTTTCCTTCTGTTTTTTGAAAAACAGTGTCCATGTTTAACATTGATAGCATAGCATGTACTTTCTTCAACCAACAAATCACATAAGCACACCAGTCAAATATATATTTTCCTCAATCAAGAAATCATACATGAACACCACTCAAACGTATATTTTTTCCTCAACCAAGAAAATCATACATGCACACCACTCAAATATATATTTTCCTCAACCAAGAAATCACACATGAACACCACTCAAACATATATTTTCCTCAACCAAGAAATCATACATGCACACCAGTCAAACATATATTTTCCTCAACCAAGAAATTATACATGCACACCAGTCAAACATATATTGTCCTCACTCAAGAAAACATACATGAACACCAGTCAAACATATATTTTCTTCAACCAAGAAATCACACATGCACACCAGTCAAATATATATTTTCCTCAACCAAGAAATCATACATGCACACTAGTCAAATATATATTTTCCTCAACCAAGAAATCATACATGCACACCAGTCAAACATATATTTTCCTCAACCAAGAAAACATACATGAACACCACTCAAACATATATTTTCCTCAACAAAGAAATCATACATGCACACCAGTCAAACATATATTTTCCTCAACAAAGAAATCATACATGCACACCAGTCAAATATATATTTTCCTCAATCAAGAAATCATACATGCACACCAGTCAAATATATATTTTCCTCAATCAAGAAATCATACATGCACACCAGTCAAACATATATTTTCCTCAACAAGAAAACATACATGCACACCAGTCAAACATATATTTTCTTCAACCAAGAAATCACACATGCACACCAGTCAAACATATATTTTCCTCAACCAAGAAAACATACATGAACACCAGTCAAATATATATTTTCCTCAACCAAGAAATCACACATGCACACCAGTCAAACATATATTTTCCTCAATCAAGAAAACATACATGAACACCAGTCAAACATATATTTTCCTCAACCAAGAAATCATACATGCACACCAGTCAAACATATATTTTCCCCTCCAACCAAGAAATCACACCTGCACACTAGTCAAACTTATATTTTCCCCTACAAATAATAAATCATACATACAACACAGCCATAAACGGCTAATTTTCCTCAACCAAGAAAATCCATACAGTGACACCACTCCAACATATATTTTCTTCTCCAAGAAATCACACATGTGGAAGTCAAAGCGGACATTCCTCAACCAAAAAAACCATGCATCTGCACACCTGGGCACAATCAACAGTGGTGGTTTTGATTAAAGGTTTGCAACAGATTCTGTTAATAAGTCAAATGTCTGGGCAACCACCCGGTGTGACAGTTATAAGAAAACCACTCAAACAGCGATATTTCCTGGGACAAAAAAGGGTGCAGAAGCAAAGCACACCAAACAGGCACTATTTTCCTCAACCAAAAGGGACTGCACACCATCAAAAGATATCCAAAAAGAAGCTCTAAAATGAAACATACTACTTCATGCACTCCCAGAATCACATATATTCACGTTCACCGCCTGTAAATCATACATGCACACCAGTCAAACATATATTTTCTTCAGCCAAGAAGAAATCATACATGCACACCAGTTTCAAACCTTTTTCTGCATCCAAGACAGATCATACATGCACACCAGTGCAAACTGTTGGTTTCTTGCTCTCACACCAGTCAGATGCACTCTGATTTTGAAGGAACCTGCATTACCACTCTGACGACATATTTTTTGGTAGGCAGAAATCATACATTCACACCACTCAACATATATTTTCCTCAACCAAGAAAATAGGACCCATGAACCCACACAGTCAACCCTAAAATATTTTGTTCATACCCAAGACGCTGGGCATGACACCCATCAAAGATACTGATTTTCTTCAAGCCAGGAACATGAAGTGAACTACACAAATGTCAAACATGAAGCGAACTACCCAAATGTCAAACATGAAGTGAACTACCCAAATGTCAAACATATATTGAACTCATACAAGAAAACATGACATGCACACCATGTCAAACATAAAGTTTTCTTCAACAAGAAATCACACAACACACCAGTCAAACTATATAAATGTCAAACATGAAGAAACTACCAAATGTCAAGCATGAAGTGAACTACACAAATGTCAAACATGAAGTGAACTACATAAATGTCAAACATGAAGTGAACTACACAAATGTCAAACATGAAGTGAACTACACAAATGTCAAACATGAAGTGAACTACACAAATGTCAAACATGAAGTGAACTAAACAAATGTTAAAAATTTCACTAAATTCCTTGTATTAGCTTGACTGCAGTCACCATTATATTTACAACAGGACAACCAGGTAAAGTCCTGGAAAGTCAAGGTGGTCAACATAAGGCTGATAACATCACCCACCGAGTACCGACTGTTATATAATAAAAAGGTCTAGCGCTAAATGCCCAACACGCCTAAAGGTGTAGAAGAGGTTCCTTTACTGACTGACTTGCTACAGCCCGCCACCAAGGATGCAGAGCCAGCCCATTCATAAGGGCTATTCAACAGGCAGCCCTCGGTTCTTCTTCTTCTTATTCTTCTTCGCGTTCACCGGCTCTAAACTCCGGCGGAAAGTTCTGGTGGCTCATTTACTTCTGGACTGCAGTCCTGTTGCAGAATCTGAGTGTTGTGTGTGCATCCGACTCATTTGTATGCAGACTGTTGGTTCCTTGCCTTTCAAGCAGATGTACTCTAACTTCAAAGAAAGCTCCCAGTTAGCCGACTCTTACAACATGCTTTTTGGGTAGGCAGTGGGTTGTTCTTGTTTACACTTTAATAGGGCCCAGTAGCATACACCAGGCAGCCCTCGGTTCAAATCTCTGATCACTGCCAGTTGTATCGTATGAATGACCTATCTATGTTGGGGCTCAGGCCGCTGGCCTGCGACGGCACCCAGTGTCACCATTTTGGCCCCTAAGTAAACTTTGTTGAAAAGCCCTTGCCATATGCTTAGAGTTGAGCTGATTCAAGAACCCACATCACAACACCTGGGGCAGTCCCATAAGTGCTCCGTCCCACTTTCAGCAGCCAGTGCAGAGTTCTGATTACTAATGGTGCTAGTAGCATTTTGATTAAATGTCTGTCTTGCCTTTCCTCTGAGCCACGAGCAACTGCTTACAGATTTGTTTCCTATGTAGAAAAACTGCTGGCTAGTTTTCTGTCTATCACAAGTGATGAAGGCCCACTTAGCATCCAAATTTGTAAACATCAATGACTGTGAATTCAAAGATGACTATGAGCACAAAGATGACTGAGTACAAAGACAACTATGAGTACAAAGATGACTGTGGGTACAAAGACAATTGTGGGTACAAAGACTACGGGTATAAAGAATGTGAGTACAAAGTGTGGAACTGTGAGTACAAATCTGTCTGGTAACCATGTGAGTCAAACACGCACTGGGCAAAACCAACAGACTGGTGGTTTTGAGTACAAAGACGACTGTGAGTACAAAGACGACTGTGAGTACAAAGACGACTGTGAGTACAAAGACGACTGTGAGTACAAAGATGACTGTGAGTACAAAGACGACTGAGTACAAAGACGACTGTGAGTACAAAGACGACTGTGAGTACAAAGACGACTGTGAGTACTGAGGAAAGAAGACTGTGAGTACAATGAAACTACGACTACTGTGAGTACAAAGACGACTGTGAATACAAAGATTGACACGTTTACCGGCTATAAACTCTGGTGGACAAGTTCTGACTGTGAGTACACTTCTGGACTGTGAGTACAAACTGACTGTGAGTACCTTTTGACTGTGAGTACAAAGACGACTGATACTGACGACTGTTGTACACGACTGTGGTACAAAGATGCCTGTCAGGCAGATGCACTCTGAGTACAAAGGAACCTGTGAGTAGTCCACGACTGAGTGACATGACTTTTGTGAGTACAAAGGCGACTGTGAGTACAAACATTCTTTTTTTTCCCGACGCCTAGTACAAAGAGGACCCTGAGAACAAAGACGACTGGGGAACCCAAAAATTAATGTTCATAAGAAAGACAACTAGGCTGGTACCATCGACTGATACTACAAAGATGACAGTGAGTAGGAACATGACTGTGAAGTACACAATGATGTCAAAGACGACTGCGTACAAAGACAAATGTGAGTACAAAGATGACTGTGAGTACTACCCAACTGTGAGTACAAAGACGACTGTGAACTACAAACACGACTGTATACAAAGACATGAAGTGAGTGCAAAGACGACTGTGAGTACAAAAGAATGTGAGTACAAAAACGACTGTGAGTACAAACATGACTGTGAGTACAAAGACGACTGTGAGTACAAAGACGACTGTGAGTACAAAGACGACTGTGAGTACAAAGATGACTGTGAGTACAAAGATGACTGTGGGTACAAAGACGACTGTGAGTACAAAGATGACTGCTCAGTCGTCCCCGTTGAGGTCCTGGGACCCTACTGGGGGTGGAAGGTGTATAGTTTTACCAAACAATTTTATATCCAACAGTTTGCTGCCAAATCATATGCAGCTGAATCAAACATGATATGTTAAAATTATGAAACTATGTTTAAAACCACTCGGCCACAAAACAATTAATCAATTACCCAACTACATAAAACGCACATTTTTACATTACCTAGATCCAGTAATGAATCTGACTTCTGGTAAGGTGTAAACCCAAGAAGCTGTTCAAACTGCGCCCTGGAGAAGATGAACATTGATCCCCTGTTCAGGAAGCTGTCGGGGAAAAGGCTTATTTTATATTTGAAGGGAAAAAAAAATTACACAGAGACCACACACAAATGACAACATTTGCTTTAGCATTACACAATACACTGGCACAGATGGACTTCTTTTAAAATAGTATACAGACAGGCATGTAACAAGATTACCGGCCTCTCAATAAAACAGGCTCCTTCTTCTTCAGGCTCACCAGCTGAAAAGTCTGGCGGAAAGTTCTGGTTGTCTGTCCAACTTCAGTCTGGTCCCAAAACTGAGTGTTGTGTGCACATCCGTTTTACAGATCTGGTTTTTATTTGTAAAGACTTGGTTCATCGCCTTTCAAGCAGATACACTCCAACTTTGAAGGATGCCTCCAATCAGTCAACTCCTACAACATGCTTGTAGGGAAGGCAGTGGGCCTATTCTTGTTTGCCCCACAGTGGGACCCCGGAACACACACGGGGAATTCAGGGTTGGGTACATAGGTAGAGGAGAGGAGGCCAACCCAGAAAAAAAATCTGGTTACAAATTCTGGCTACCAAGATGGGCCTGAAACTGACCAACAGAGTGGAGGAACTAATCAGGCACATCATATGACCTTTTTTTCATATGCTAGGCTGTCCTGCACTATAGATTCTCCAGCGGCTTTCGTTACGAACCACCAGACACTTGTCTTTCCTCTCAACACCGAACCATCTGTATAGATATTCAGATCATCGGGGCTCGAATTGTTGAGAATTAACTGTTGGACTTCCACCTCCGTAGCCCATGCTGGCCTTTCTCTGCACACCCGTTCTAATGTGATCATAACCCTACACAGGTCAGACTTTTCCACCGTTAATCTGACCCACTCCTCCCCTCGCCCAATGTTCTCCAGCATACTTGTTTTATTGTGTCTTCTGCTTGAACCATCCACGATGTTCCCCTTTTCAGCCTCTGACCCTTTCCTGCAGCCAAAGCTGCATACAGAGGGTGTTCCTTGTCTGCATCTACTCTGAGGTATGACTAAGCCTGCATCACCTTTAGCCTATCTGCAATAGTCGCCAACGCAAGGATGTATCGCATGCACACAACTGAGGTGTCTCTTGTACATCCCAGGATAGAAACCATGTGTTCCCCATGCATCATGGTCCCTCTCTCGGCCTGTCTTGTTTACTCCAAAAGAAAGGTAACACCTGTATATCTGGAACAACGCATGCTTCAGAAGTTGTTCATTCAGAAGAGCAGTGCTCTATCTGTCCGCCTGTCGGAGCTTCCCTCCTAGACCAGCTGCCAGTCAAGGCTAAGAGCCAGATCTGCCAGAATGCATCTGACAACAGTGAAATATGCCTGAAAATTGATTGTGCAATATACTGTTTGCTTCCTCATCAATCCTTCACGTCCTCTTTGACCACTTTCGGTGTTGAAAAGGATACAGAGTTCTGTTTCTCACTCTTCTGACCGCCTTACCACAGACACTTCTACTTTTGTAGAGTTTCTCTTATGTTATCTTTCCTCATTTTTCTTGGTCCATCCGGAGCTCTATATCCATCTCCTCTCAAGGCGTTAGCTTGTAAAATATGGCATGACAAGGAATTCTCTCTTAGTAGGCAAATCATGACAAGAAATTCTCTCTTAGTAGGCAAACCATGACAAGGAACTCTCTCTTATTAGGCAAACCATTACAAGTTACACAGAGACTGGCAAGAAAAGCAGTGGCAAAGCAATGAACAAAAAATTGTCTAGAAATCACAAACCGCACACACACACAAAATTATGAGGTTGGTTCTGCAAAGGATATACAACTAACTGTTATTTGCCGTCTTTATATGCAATTTAGCATTCATTCTGAACACTTTCTCTTATAACCTAACTCTTGATTTTATCTCAATTAATCCCTCTCACTGCCTTCCTCAAACATCTTTCTTCTTCGTCTTCTTCATTCCGAGCCCTTGAAGTTCATCGCTGTAGATATCACCCGCCTCCACTCATCTCTCCAGTTGGCCTTCTCTTTCTAACTGGTGACATCAAGTATTTGTAGGCCTGTCTGAATTTAATCTCTCAATCGTCTTCTGGGTCCGCCTCGTGGTTTACAACCAATCAACTCCCTTGTGTATACAGTTTTTAACTCTTTTTTTTTTATATCTCGTTTCCAGGGTTATTAATTTGTATTTCTGAACTGTTGAGTGTGACCATGTTTAGAACAGGCAGCAAAGAGCAGAAATGAAAATCTGATGTATTATTTAAACATTAATTTTTTTTGTCAATTAAAATTACAAAAATGAATTGGTCATTTCATGTGGATGAATCTAATGAATCCAGCAAAGACAGCATACAACACAAAAGTAGATGGACCGAACAAGTCACTGATACCTTGAGACTCCACATCACAGCATGCCAGACAGCATACGAGACAACCGAGCAAGCCTTAGCTTGGATTCCTGATCATTTGTTAACTTGCCATGCTTAACGGCATAAAGCAGAATATGGACAAAAACAAGAATTTATTTATGAAACACATAAAAGCTGTTCACCCACCCATTGACTGACGTCTGGGTCATAAACATGTTCAGCACCGGTCTAGCTAATGAGTAGAACAACTGGGTGAAGATCTGGTTGGACTTGTCCAGACAGTTCTCCAGAAACAAGCTGGTGCCTTCATCCTGGTCAAACTGGATAAATCTGGCCTGCAGCTCCTCTGGAAAACGGCTGACAATCACTCGGTACCACTGCCAGAACAGAAACTGTACGTGTCAATTATTTCAGTGCTCCCACCGGGGAATAGACCTACAGCACCTTAACATCTTCTTCAGCCTTTCTAACCCCCAATGGAGAATAGGTCCTCAACCAACTTATGCCAAGTCGTTCTATCCCTCGCTGTCCTATCTGTTTAACTTCACTCTCTTCCCCTTATGGAAGTCGCTGCGGCGTAGCAGCTAGACGCTACACCTTTGCTCCCAGCTTTGAGTGGATACCGGGTGCAGTCCCGGGAAGTAAAGGCGGCCGACGTAATGCTGACCACATCACCCATCTTGTACGGACTGGTGTATAAAATATAGGTCCAGCCCTAGATGCCCTATACGCCTAAAGGTGTGGAAAAGGGTCCGTTACTTTACTTTTACTCTTCACCCTAGCATGCAAGTCATAAAAGGTCATGAATGAAGTACTTGCTGAAAACAGATGTGTCCAGCCAAAAAGTGCAGACACTGCAGCCTAGCTGTACACCCACAGCTCAATGTGCCAATCAACCGGCTCGCTATCATAGTCGGTTAAACTTGACTTCGCGGCGACCTGGTGACGAAATCCGTGTGGTCCAGGTTTAAGCCCAGGGGTAGGCAGAATAGTCACATTTCTCCAAGATTTATGATATCTCTCATGGAATCAAGGCCGAAGGGTTGCGATATCCATAGTACAGAGCCAAAGGGTTAACAACTCATGGTTTCTGGATATTAAAAAAGATTTTAATATTAAAAAAAAAAAACACTGTCCAATCGCCCTTTTACGGACAAATGCAGGAGGAGGAGGAGGAGAAAAAGCCTGCAACAGTAAACGATAAGACGACTTGGCCTGAGTTGGTTGAGGGCCTATGCTCCGTTGGGGTAGAAAGGGCAGAAGAAGAATAACTGGTTGTGGTTTATCTGTGGGCAGTGAGTTGTAACTTAACTCTGGTGACCCTAAGCTACATTTGATGTTTGTTCTTCTCCTTCTTCCTTCACCCTTAAAAGGATGGTTGGCAAGATGCGCTGTGGCTTACAGCTAGACTGTGATTTCTATGCCTTTCAGCCCAAAGCCATCCGATTTCAGGAACAATCCTGGGTTCTTTATTAATATCCTACCCAAGATGACATCACAGGACAGTCCAACATTTTAGAGGGTGGTAAGACTGTGTTTCCTGGCTTTCTGATGCTTTTAACGACCCTAAAACATCTACAACTGGCCCTAACCCCAACCCACCTACGTCCCACGAGAGTGCAGCCTAGGTTCCACAACTGCATGCAGTTTATCTACCACCCCCTAAAAAATGAGACTGTCCAGCGACCTGTGGATTTCCCCTGTTTGGGGTAAGATATTAATAGAGCACCTAATCCTGAATTAGCTGCCTTCTAAGGCTTGCCTTTTAGGGCCAGCAGATCTACTCTTCTTTTCCCTAACAAACAAAACAATGAGTGCCCTAAGAACCCACACTAGGGACACAAGATGTCTGACAGCTACTTGAGAAATCATCATGTAGCAGGTCCTTTGCAGAACTCCGTTCTCATCACAGTCTGCCTGAAAGAAACTCGGTCTCTCGCCAGCTCTCCCACCTTGTGTACTTTCATACTCAAGGATTCACTTTTATCCTCTGCCCATCTTCATGTTGGTCAGCCCCTGCTCCTCCTTCCTGGTCCCATGCCTTCTGCATTTATTTTTTCCAATCCGTCGTGGCGCTTGGTATGACCAAAATATTTGAGAAATACCAACTGTTAACCAATGTGTTCTGAAGCTGTGTTCTTCAAGCGGTAGGCCTCCAAAAATGTCTTGATAATCAGGTATGGGAGGGGGGGGGGGGGGGGAAATTTTCTCGACCAGGATTGCAGTCTATACGAATGTTGTTGTCTGTCCATCACGAGTGATAAAGACCACTTTCATCCAAAGTAGCAATGATCAATGATTATGAGTACGAAGGTGGCTGGTTAGTCCAATATGAGCCAGGAAAGTTCTTGAGCAGTGCGGACAATAGGTGGAAGCCGCAGTGTGTGGATTAGCAGTACGATTCTTGCTAGTCTGCCTCCCTTTCTCTGCCTGTGCAACCTCCACTCCCTGGTTGGCTGAGGCACCATGCCTGAGGGACGTACGCCATCCAGAACGGTCTTGTGCAGCAGCCTCCCACCTCGCTATGTTGATGCCAAAAGAATTGAGAGCAGTCTTGAGAGTGTCCTTATAGCGCTTTTTCTATCCTCCTAGGACCTCTTCCCAGAATTACCACATCCAGGAGGAACAAAACAAGAAACTTGTAACTATGTGATATCGGATTTAGCAAACAGTGATCAACATTTGCTGTTGTTTCTGTGTATAATTTAGCCGTCAGGTGGGCCGTCAAACTTGTTTCCTCTGTTTTGGTCGGCCACCAAACCATTTCCTCTGTTTTGGTGGGCCGCCAAACCATTTCCTCTGTTTTGTTGGTCCGATAAAACCATTTCCACTGTTTTGGTGGGCCGCCAAACCATTTCCACTGTTTTGGTGGGCCGCCAAACTATTTCCTTTGTTTTGGTGGGCCGCCAAACCATTTCCTCTGTTTTGGTGGGCTGTTAAACCATTTCCTCTGTTTTGGTGGGCCGCTAAACCATTTCCACTGTTTTGGTGGGCCACCAAACCATTTCCTCTGTTTTGGTGGGCCACCAAACCATTTCCTCTGTTTTGGTGGGCTGCCAAACCATTTCCTCTGTTTTGGTGGGCTGCGAAACCATTTCCTTTGTTTTGGTGGGCCGTTAAACCATTTCCTCTGTTTTGGTGGGCCGCTAAACCATTTCCACTGTTTTGGTGGGCTGCCAAACCATTTCCTCTGTTTTGGTGGGCTGCCAAACCATTTCCTGTTTTGGTGGGCCGCGAAACCATTTCCTCTGTTTTGGTTGGCCGTGAAACCATTTCCTCTGTTTTGGTGTGCCGTCAAACCATTTCCTCTGTTTTGGTGGGCCGCCAAACCATTTCCTCTGTTCTGGTGAGCCGCCAAACCATTTCCTCTGTTTTGGTGGGCCGCCAAACCATTTCCTCTGTTTTGGTGGGCCGCTAAACCATTTCCACTGTTTGGGTGGGCCACTAAACCATTTCCACTGTTTTGGTGGGCTGCCAAACCATTTCCACTGTTTTGGTGGGCCGCCAAACGATTTCCTCTGTTTTGGTGGGCCGCGAAACCATTTCCTATGTTTTGGTGGGCCGCCAAACCATTTCCTCTGTTTTGGTGGGCCGCCAAACCATTTCCTCTGTTTTGGTGGGCCGCCAAACCATTTCCTCTGTTTTGGTGGGCCGCCAAACCATTTCCTCTGTTTTGGTGAACCACCAAACCATTTCCTCTGTTTTGGTGGGCCGCTAAACCATTTCCACTGTTTTGGTGGGCCGCTAAACCATTTCCACTGTTTTGGTGGGCCGCCAAACCATTTCCTCTGTTTTGGTGAACCGCCAAACCATTTCTTCTGTTTTGGTGGGCCGCTAAACCATTTCCATTGTTTTGGTTGGCCGCCAAACCATCTTCTCTGTTTTGGTGGGCCGCTAAACCATTTCCACTGTTTTGGTGGACCGTAGGGGTAAAAAGGGGTGTTTCCTCCAGAGAGGCGAGTAACCAGCAGTCTGCATAAAAATAATCCAAAATTTGTAAAACTGATGTGCATGCAAAACTCGAGTTCTGAAACAAGACTAAAGTAAAGAAACTTATGAACAACCAGAACATTCCGCCAGAGTTTAAAGCCGTTGAACACTAAAGAAAAAATACTCCCCTGCTTACATCCTGAAAGTGGCAAATTCAGGCACATAATGATAGTTAAATACTAAGAAGATTTCCGCCGCCTTTATTTCCCAGGACATTATATCATACCCATTTTAGATTGTGTCAATTTGGAAGCCAAGGTCAAATTTGCAACAACAACAAAATCCAACCTGATACAGATTCAAACCGTAGATCCACAGACTAGCAGGTGGCATGAAACTATGCTGCTGCTGTTCCTACAAGCAGAAGAACGTTACCTACAATTTTACTAATCAGCAGGGTTTGTAGCCACATTTATCAACTGTTTTCAAGGATTTTCTCAATGTATTTTTGCTTTGTTCAATGGTGTACGGAGCACATCCAATACTCTCTTCATGCACACACGTGGAAGTAGGCACACAGATATAGACCTGTCTCCAGGTCACACTGGTGTGTTAGGAAATGAGCAGGCACATAGACTGGCTGGCTTTGCATCACATGGTGGTGAATTAATGTATGACAAGTTGGATATTGTGCGGTGGTGCTGCGAGGAGTTACCAGGGGATCTGGCCGACGCTCAACACTCAGGGAAAGGATGAGACGGATATACAATCAGACCGTTACTGGTACCATCGGAATTGGAACTCTTTGCTTGCTGCTAAAGATTTGGACTCAGCACTCGTGGGAGTGTCCCCAGTGCTGTGATGCCAATTCTTAATTCAACTTTTAACAGACATAGACCTGTTGGCAGAGGAGAGCAAACTGAAGGGATGATGATTTCTAACATTAGCACAAGTGAATGCTGGACGGTTTACAATAAAAAAAAAATTGTATATGTGCTTTATACGTATGGTAAAGCAAAACAATCAAACCAGGGGGTCATATGCTCTGTGTAGGTGACATACAGATATCAAGAAGACAATACGTAAACAGTGAAACCACTCACGTAGACATGTCTGTCATCCTTGTTGCGTTCATCCTCCTTGAGTTTGAAATAAACAGCCCGGGCTAGGGGATTTCTGATATTCTGTCCTGACCAAACTCCTGGCTCAGCGTCTGAGAAAGATTCTTGGGAACTTCCCCGAGACTCCCCACAAGAACATGTCCCTGACTCACAAGCAGCAGCAGAAGAACATAAACTGGCTGCAGGAGCTTCCGACATGACATAGAGTGACTCGTCTACACCCTGGCTTGACTGGCAAACAGCAGCCACATTCCAAAAGCAGCTAATTAGAACAATTAATTTTATTAGCAGAACATGGCTGCCAGGTCTGTTTGCTTTCTTCCAATACTTTATGGTCATTCAGAAACTGCTACCAGTTATCTGTGTGAAAACAAAACAAATAATATTTAACCCTACCAGACCTGAGGCCCTGAACCTAACTGCCCCCTATACCTGGGCATGAACGAAAAAACCCAACATGACACACACAAATATTAGTTACATGCAAACAAGTGGTAAGAATAAGATGAAACTTGGAGACATTGAAGAAAATAGGTTAACCTATCATCTAGCACCAATATTTCACCTTTTTGTGCCAATCCACCCAGCAGGATCAGCCTCGTTTCACAAAGTGAGCACCAGATGTTGCTGTTTGAAATTCTGACTCCTCAGAGTCTGAATTAACCAAAGTATCGATCACCTGTTGGGCTGTGAAAAGCCTAGACCTATTTCGCTTTCCTGCCGAATTGTGAATTTTCAGAATTTTTCACGTTAAACCACACAAAGTAAATACAAACACACGTAGGTAGCCATTCGCAATGACTAACCACAATGTTTGATCATGACTGGTTTATTGCTATCAGTCTGTGAAGCTTTTTTCACGCAGTACGCAAAGTACCGAAAATTAGGTACATCCGTTTAGCGGCAGATTAGGAAATTACCGCAAAAGTAGTACAAGAAAATACAATGCAAAATGTTGACTTGAGAATCAAGATCATAGCACACGGGACATTCCCATAAGTGCTCCCTCTCCATCTATATTAGCAAGCTGAGATTTCCAATTCAGGTGGCACCATCAACAGACTGCTTTTATATCTGTCTTAACTTTCCCTTAGGAAAATACAACAATGGAACATTTCTTACACTAATAATCTTCTTCTTCTTTTGTTTAACATCAATCAGCAAATCCTTTACAGAATGTTGCTAAGCCACCATGACATTTGATGTGGCCAAATTACTTCAGCTTTCAGGGGAAACGATGCTGATTATGAGCCAATTCTCCTTGATGTTTAACTTGTGTAGAATGTTATTCAAAATGTTATGATAGAATAACTAATGTAGAACTTTGGGAGAGAACTAAACAGGCTTCAGTGGATCAGGAGGTGAGGAAAAGACGCTGGCGTTGGATAGGACACACACTGAGAAAACAGGAGAACAGCATAACTAGAATGTCTTTGCATTGGAACCCACAGGGGCATAGGAATAAAGGAAGGCCAAAAAACACATGGAGAAGAGAGCTGGAGAATGAGGTTAGAAAGATTGGGAGGACATGGGGAGAGCTCCAGGTAATGGCGAAGGATAGAACGACTTGGCGTGAGTTGGTTGAGGGCCTATGCTCCATTGGGGGATAGAAAGGCAGAAGAAGAAGAAGAATGTTATTCACCAAAATAAATTATCTACATCTGCAATGCTGTCTCTAGTATGAACTTCACAGTCTGTTGTAATTCACTCAGCGGCCCGTAAAGTTTGGCTTCCACCAGTTGTCTCTCTTGGCCAGAAGTTTTGTCTGGAAATGTTACCACTAATAATCATTGCAGTTACGAAACCACATGGGGTTCACAGTCCATTCCTCCAGTTCAATTCTTTCAATCTCATGAATGGAATCTTGTCCAGCACCTTTGGCCTCTCTCATCAACCTTCTTTTTAGGGTGTCTCTTTGGTGTGCTCGCTTCCTCAATCCCTTTACTCCTGCTGTCAGTCCCTGTTTGGTGATTCTCTGCTGGTTTCTTCTCAGGATGTGTCCAATATAGTACCATCTTCTCTGTCTGCTACCAGTGGTTGCTCAGACATCTTCTCTGTCTGCTACCAGTGGTTGCTCAGACATCTTTTCTGTCTGCTACCAGTGGTTGCCCAGCCATCTTCTCTGTCTGCTACCAGTGGTTGCCCAGCCATCTTCTCTGTCTGCTACCAGTGGTTGCTCAGACATCTTCTCTGTCTGCTACCAGTGGTTGCTCAGACATCTTCTCTGTCTGCTACCAGTGGTTGCCCAGCCATCTTTTCTGTCTGCTACCAGTGGTTGCCCAGACATTTCTCTGATTTCTTCACCCTTTTAACATTCATTAATTTTATGTTCAACATTTCCCTCAGGTTTTTATTTTCAAATGCTTTTTTTAACTTTCATTCCAGATCTTTCGTGGTTCTCCAACTTTCAAAGGTAAACTTGAACACAGGTAAACTTGAACACAGGTAAACTTGAACACAGGTAAACTTGAACACAGGTAAACTTGAACACAGGTAAACTTGAACATAGGTAAACTTGAACATAGGTAAACTTGAACACAGGTAAACTTGAATTTAGGTAAAATAATTCTAAAACTGAACAATTTAGAGTTCGATATTTTGTTCAGGCTTTTTAAAGCTGCTGATTCCTTGCCAATGTATGTCCTAATTTATTTCTTTGTTTCCGTTACTATCAAAATTTCTATAAAAACAAGTAAACTGCTCTGTTAATTTTAATTCTTGTTGTCTCCAGAGTGACATCTGCTTGAACTTCTTCTTCTTCTTTGCGTTCACCAGCTGTAACCTCTGATGAAAAGTTCTGGTTGTTCGTCCAATTCTGGACTGCAGTCCTGTTTCAGAACCTGAGTGTTGAGTGTGCATCCGTTTGACAGATCTGACTCATTTGTGTGCAGACTGTTAGTTCCTTGCCTCTCAGGCAGATACACTCCAACTTCGAAGAAAGCTCCCCATTAGTCGACTCTTACGACATACTTTTGGGTAGGCAGTGGGTTCTATTTTTGTTTTTTCCCTATAATAGGGCCCCGGAACCCACACAGGAAATTTGTTTGATCTGTTACTGGTGTCTTCGATTGCATTTTTTTTCCACTGTAATCAAACTTTTAATGCTATTTTTGGCTAAATCATCTGTTTTTCTTTGCACATCACTGCTTTCTTATTTAGTAGAACAATATCATCTGCAAATTAAGATCTTTCAGCTATGTGTTCTCAACCTAGTCAAAGCCGGTGTTATCAACCAACATTTGTTCATCATTCAGTGAATGGTTATGCCAAATAACAGCAGAGATATAATTACATTTAATTACTCCAGTTTCTTCTTCTCCCCCTTCTTTGTTCACCAGTTGTATGCTCCAGTGGAAAGTCCTAGTTGTTCGTCCATCTGGACTTAAGCTTTGTGCCAGGGCCTGAGTTTTGCATGCCCGTCTGTTTTACCGGCTTATCTGTGTGCAGCTGGTTGTTTTTTGCCACACAGGCAGATGCACTCTGACTTCAAAGGAGCCCCCCCCCCCCCCCCCCCCCCCCCCCCCCCCCCCAACTAGTCGACTCTTACAACATGTTTGTTTTGGAGGCAGTGGGTTTATTCCCCCCCCCCCCCCCCCCCCCCACAGGGAATTCCAGTTTCAAACGTAAACTAATCACTTAAACCATCATCTGTTTGCACTGCACACTCTGAGTCTTTATGTGTTGCTTTAAATTTTTTTAATTGTTATACCACAGCATTCCATAATCCCCTATAATGATTTTCTGTGTAACCTATCTGTGACGTGCAGTTAAGGTTGCGTGGTGATGTGCAGCGTACCAAAGTGACTAGGGGTGTCGCAATGTAACAATTGGCATCAACACTTAACATGCCACTGGCCAAGAGTAACACAACCTGATGAATGCTGAAGCTTCCAAGGTAGCAGAACGAGAACTCTCTTTAAAAGTTCCATTTGTGTATTGACAATATCGATAATCGACACAATGAGAAAATATGTAAGCAACAACTCACACTCGCTCAACCAAAGCAGCTCGCTCGTACATCCATGTATTGATATGTCCTCACGATAGGTCGCAGTCCGACCTTGAGATCCAGGCGATTATCTTCGTCCTCGGACAAGTCCGAATTAAGCAATGAAAGTATACCGGCTTACTGCCGAGAATGTAATGTTCACCAGCTTCCTGCTGAGGTCTATCTTGGAATCCCGGGGTAAAACGTCCTCAAGGATCCAACTTCATATAACGTTTGCTTCCGTGGGATCCCGGGGTAAAGCGTCCTCAAGGATCCACACGTCCGTCTCCTTCGGACTATAAACATCAACTGCCTTTGACAACATTACCTTCACAACGTTACGTATTGTTTTGACGTCTTATTTGCTCACTCCGTACCGGTGCGTTCTAGTGCACATTCGCACGCGACAGCTTTTCCCCCCTCCCGATGACGACCGAGCACTAGGACTTGCCGTAGTCTCGGTCGGAAAACTGGAGTCATGTCGCGGCAAACAGCACCAATACGAGAGAACAAACAAGAACACTTGAATACACAAACACTCACGTCTCAATATATCAAAAATACATCATTATATTAATGCAAAATATAGTAATGACTAAGCTCAACAGAACATATTAATAATATCATTTAAATTTAACACAACAAATATCAATCCTATCCAATGCATTTGGTGCGCGTGACAAAAAATCGGCCATGACAATCTCTTTCCCTGGGCGATAAATAATGGTGAAGATAAACGTCTGCGAATACTTTGTCCATCTACTGATGCGTAAGGTCTTGATGGGTGCTGACATGAAGGCCACATTGGATGCATCAATTGGGTGGCAGACAAACAACACACTGCAATGTTAGCGATGAAAAATCGCTAAAATAATGACCGGTACAACGGCAAGTAGCAGAGCATATACAACGAAAATGACGACTTGATCCACTCCAATCCACCGGAGAGTGGCACAGTCGGTAACGGTGACTTGATTATGATGAGATCCAACGAAGAGTGATACGGTCCCGATGAAGATCCAATGAAGAGTGATACGGTCCCGATGAAGATCCAACGAAGAGTGATACGGTCCCGATGAAGATCCAACGAAGACTGATACCGTCCCGCTGAAGATCCAACGATGCTAGAACAGACTGGCGGCGGCGACTTGATACATTGAACGATATCCACAGCTAGAGATATGTAAAGATTGTGACAACTGGAATGTGCTTCGTGTACAACTTGAGGCAAAACAATGCGACAAAATGTTGTATCACACTTGTGACGAGAGGTCCCTCATTCTTTAAAGGCTGGCCTCCATTGTGACGTGCTGTAAAGGCTGCGTGGTGATGTGCAGCGTACCAAAGTGAC